TGGTGAAGTCACCTCGCAGAGCGTCAAGTAGGTCACTCATGCGAGGGTACTTGACACCATTCACCAATCCGGCCAGAAGGCTGAAATAGAATGGGTGTGCTTTTGAGGAGAGTAAGCCATACTTGTGCATTGCGAACCTGTTAAACGCCTCCGCTACGTTGGTGGTGCGCAGCTCCTTGACGTTCCATTTGTTCCACAAATTCCTGAAAAAACCACGATACCAATATTGTTTCAGATAGCCAAGGAACTCCGAGCACTACGGTTGGTCAAACCGGTTCTTATTGTCTTCCCTGAATCTTAGCGCTGAGCGGTTGCCGGGCTTGGTCTTGATCCTCCTTTGCCGTGAGTTGTGCACGAGGGAAAGCTTTAAATGGTTTTTCAGATTCGTCACCATGGTGAATTCGTTCCGTCCAGCTGAAGCCGTGGATCCCAGTGTCGAACGATACGCAATGGATCGCGAGGTTGTGAAGGAGTGCATGAAAAAGGTTATCAAAGACCTCAATGGCAATCTTCGCAGTAAAAGGTCGGTGTTTCTTTTTTCGTGCATGCCGTCAGCTTACGCTTATTACAACCCCTTCATCTAGGTCCTTCTGTCATCCCTATCGCCCTTAGCGACGAATTACTTACGCTTGTTTTTCCTTTGCAACATCTCTTTTAGTTCCGGATGTACACCCCTCTTCGCAAGCGCTGTCCATACTGCGGACCACTCCAGGATATCAAATGCTTTTCTGAACTCGACGAGAGTTGAAAGAGATCGGGCATTGTCGTTCCAATTGTAGGGCTTCTGATAGTGGTAGCCATGAGGGTGGGCGATAGTCTGCCGTGGGGCCCAGACACTTCTGGCAGACGACACTGGGCTTAGGGAAGGGGAGGTGGACGGAGAGATGGAGGAAGCCGACCAGCCGCCACGACTTCAGCACCGAGAATTGTTATAAGTTAAGCATCAACAAATAGTAGCTGACTATTACGGCATGAATAACGAACAAACTTCAAATACTTATAACATTCATCCTACGGTGAATTCCACGAATTATTACAAGAAATAATTCAACGTACGGCAAATAAGAAAAAACCATCCTACTCTCACGGGACGGACCAACCCTTCCTACGGGTGTACGAGACTTCAGCCCACGAGTGACTACGAGAGACCCATCCTGGTCGGCTGCCCAACCAGTAGAGTTGCCCCGCGACACTACGCGGTTACCTGTGGTCCTCTGAGGCGTGCGGCGATCGTAGACATCCGTTGCTCATGTGCGGTGAGAGCGGTGTGCATCGTGCCCACGTACGGCAGAGATAATAACAGACCACAGGCGATACACGCAGACGAACAGTAAGGCTGCTGCGGTGAAGAGAAGTCAGACCGAATACGCGGTCAATCCGGAGTGCAGTAGAATAGGCCGAACTGCTGGCAGGAATACGCGGTAGGCGGAGCTACGGCGATCCTTGGCGGGTTTCCGGAAACGTCGATAGAGATCACGCCGGGAGCCAGCGTAGAGCGCAACTAGAAGTTCCATTTTTACTAGAGTCGAACGAAAGTCACGACAGGAACCTGAATGTGCAGAAAGCACTGTGGTGCTTTTCCGCCTGTGGCCTATTTGCCAATCTACAGTAGTATCTGAAAGTGGTACAAGAAGTTGTCAGGTGCGATGCCTTTTCATGCATCGCTGACAAAATCCGCGCTCAAAGGCACGGCGCTCTCGCTCGCTGAGTCTGTACCACTTCTTGCAGTCGCAGGAAAAATGGTTTTCGTTGCAAAATCCACATTGCTGCGGATTCATTCATCGTCCCTTTTGCT